AAGCTACACAGAATAATGAGCTGGGAGCAAGGAGAGGAAAAAAAACTAGGATAAGAGGACAATTCGAGAATGAGGTAATAGTCGAAGCGAAAGTCGAAAGCGGCACAAGGCACAGCGAACGGCGGTCGCAAAGACTGAACAAAATGGCTGACGCTCCGCCCTTTATAGGCCACAGGGGGGAGGGGGAGCGGAGCTTCCCGCCAAAAACCGTTAGCTATCAATCTTCCGGCCACAGGCACTGCGCAGGCACAGTACCCATATGTGTGATGCACAGAGGCCACGACAAAGAACAAGGAAGTTGACTCCAATAAGATCACTGTATGAGACCCAGAGACCTCCGAAAGTCACTGGGGAACGCACAGAAAGTCGACCAAAACCAACAAGCACTGAACCTAGCACTGAGCTAGATAATGTAACAGAAAGAGACTGCCATGTCCCTTGGATACCCCAGCTCAGTGCCTTTAGTCTTCAAGTGTTGCCTGGACACTACGTAAAATCAGGTCCAATACATTCCCCAGCTGACCCCCCCCCCCCCCCACGGGGAGGGAATGGGCTGGACTCCTCTGCTCCCTCAGTTGGACTGCCCCTACAGTCAATAACTGAGCTGCGTGAGGAAAAAAGGAGTCCCCAGGAGCTGGAAGGTAACACCTCTGAGACCCAATGACAATCAAATGACTGGTATGTGAATAAAATCAACCTTATTACATGGAACATAAATGAATGGGCTGGGATTCTGCAGGACACTGAATCCAAAGGCTATCTTTCTTCTAAGGACATTGTACTCCTACAAGAAACATGGATCCAGGGGACCTTGCTACTTAATGGTTTCCAATCACACGCCATTGATGCAGTTCCTGGGGAGGCCATGGAAGACATAAAGGAGGCCAAGGAATTCTAATCGCCACGTCTTTGAGAGTAAGCACAAGGATGCTGCCATCTTACATACAACAAGCAATGGCTATCCTTGTTCATTTTGCTCAATGGGACCTGCTGATAATAAACGTCTATCTTCCCCCAAAAAAGTCTGGGATTGTCATCAACTTAAGATGACTGATATTATGCTGAAGCATTTGTTAAGCTGAGTGGGGGTTTAATATAATGTTTTATGTATTTACTTTGTATTTATTGAACAGAGCTGGTCTTTGCCCGAAATAAAGTCAGTCAGTCTGTCAGTCTGTCTGTCTGTCTAGTGAGCTGGATGACAGGGGAGATGTGGGATTGATCATGATGCTCTGGTAAAATAAATTAAGGCAAGCAGTTCCCAAAGCAGTTCATCTATTATGAATGTTTGTGTACAATGGCATTAAATTCTCAAATTAAAAGAAAAAGGTTCCAATAATGAAGGAGAGTCAATAATTAGAAAATGAGATAGCATATAAATTCTTCCAGTAAGAAGAACCTCTTTAATGGGAAGAAAATTGTCATGTACATCTACCCCAGAAGCAGAGTGCTAACAGAAATAGGTTATGGGGCAGTAGGTATGGTATGGATTTTGCCATTTCTTCATATGGTGATCATAAGTAGGTTGTGTGAAAAAGCACCATTTAGATACTTCTTTAGCATTCAAGCAAATTCATTCATTTGGTATGTTTTCATTATGTCTTTACTCTTAATAAGCAAGTTTTATTGTTTAGATACTCAGCAATGAGTGAGGGAAAGGAGTTGATTTGCTTATATAATGTATTCCTTTCTGTGACCTATTGACAGTATCCCTCAAGTACAGGTAAATTTTGAAGAAACCTGCAGTTCTCTTTAATGAGGAAGAACAGGTTCACTTTTGCTTTCAAGATGAAGTATCCACTCAAACTTAAACTAAGAATGCTACAGTATAGACTAAAAAATCCAGGGCATTTATTCAAACCATGTTACCCAACCATAAACCAACTCCAGTGAGATATCATTAGCACTTGCTAGTATGACAGGTTTCCCAAGAAGGTTGCATACCTATAACTGTCGTTCTTCAAGTGGTCATCTGTGCATTCACACCAATGGGCTTGGCGCACAGCGTAAGGCCTCAATCGGAGAAAACTTCCAAAGCTCGGTGCCATGGAGTGGGCGGGAGCCAGGCCTGCCCCTTGCACAGGCAGTATAAAGGAGGCAGCTCCCACCCAGTCCCTCAGTGCCTGAAGGTCGTGCTGTCCCAGGCATGCAAGGGCTCCCAGCTGTCCTGCGGAGGAAGCTGTGACTGTGCCCTGCCCTAGCCCATATGGGGCAGAAGCTGAGAATAGCTAATGGGGCAGAGGGTGGATTGTGTGAGTGCATGAATGACCACTCGAAGAACGAGTTACAGATAAGCAACCTGCCTTTCTTCTTTGTGGTATCTGTGCAAACACACCAATGGGTGATTTCCCTTCCAGAAGGATGGGTGACTTCCCTTCCAGAAGCTTCCCTTCCAGGAGGATGGGCTATCGTCCCTGCAGGATTGAGGAGAGGACTCCCCTTCCAAAGGTGCAGTCCCATCTGGCACGGACGTCTAGCTGACAGTGGCAGACAAAGGTCAAGGGTGTGGACCATGTCACAGCCCTGCAGATCTCCTGCGGAAGGACACCAGTCAGTAGCGCGGTGGATGTGGCTTGGGTGCATGTGGAGTGCATGCATTTTGGCCATCTTGTAGGCAAGGGAGATAGTACTGAAGACCCACTTCGAGGGTCTTTGGCTGGAGATGGGTTCACTGGCTCTGGGGCCCTCATAGCATATGAAGAGGCACTCTGAGCGGTGGAGAGTCTTGGTCTGGGCCTTGTAAAAGGGTGAGGGCCCTCCTAACGTCCAGGAGGTGACGGGTGGCTTCAATGGGGGTGGATGGGTTTGGGAAGAAGACTAGTAGGATGATGTCCTGGTTCATGTGGATGGGGATATAGGGAAAAAGAATATAGTATCCACATAGAGAACCTCTGAGAGGAAACTGGGCTTCCTTGGCACAGTTCTCTGTATAGAATGAACAGTCTCTGAGTTTGCCTGAAAGATTGGGTTCTTGATTTATAAAAGGCAAGAGCCCTTCTCACATCCAGGGAATGCAGAGTGGTTTCGATAGGAGTAGAGGGATTCTGGAAGAACGAAGGTAGAATTGTAGGCTCATTGATATGAAAATAAGAAACTACCTTAGGTAGGAAGGTAGGTTCAGGTAAGAGAATGACTTTATGGAAAATAGTATATAGTCATTTCAGAAGGCGGCAAGTTCAGCTACTCCTCGAGCAGAATTAATGGCAACTAAAAAGGCCATTTTCTCTCCCTCTGACACCAAAGTGCTTCTTGAAGGCTGGGAAGATGGGTCTTGCGACTGTCTCAACGGTGGAATAGTGGGTCTGTTCTGGTCTTGCAATGGCACCGTGTCTCCAGCACAAAGGAGGCCAGAGGGTAGTGAGGACTCAGAATGTGTTCGGGCACTCTTAGCACTCCCCTTCTCTTTACTAAGGGTGAGTCATTTAGGTGGTTTTACCTTCTTTCCCATCTTTTTCTGCTTTGCCACCTTAGGAATGTTTGCCAGCAGAGGTGCTAGTGTCTCATCTAATGTGGAAGCAGGGCCCCAGAGGTGGACAGCTGTGGTCTTCCACATTTAATGCATGGCTCCAAAGCTCAGCTTTTAAGCAATCAGCTCGGTGTAAAAGCTTGGCAGTAGTAACAAGAGTCAACAATGTGAGATTCTCCCAAGCAAAAAAGGCAAAGGGAATGGCCATCCGTAGGAGGGAGTTTGCTCCCACACACAGTACAGTTGCAAATGGAGCCTTAACCGCCACCTTGTCTCCCTGACGAGGCACGATGAAATAGGGATTCAGCAGTATTCTGCTGATCCCACTGTCATAATATAATAATTTTAAAACCCCCTCTTTTTTTGGCTTTGAGCAGCGAGGAAGAAAAATGAGAAGGAGAGAGGCCTGGCCAGGCAGGAGTTAACTATAACTCATGAGATAAGCAGAAGAACATCCCGATGTGCTCACAATGGTGGCTGAAGAAGAACTGAGGTCTTGGCAGGAACCCCGCCCTCATGCTAGCTACATTTACAGCCACGCTCCTACCAAATGCTAATTAATCAGCTTTGGAATCTTCCCAAAAAACCGCTCCACACATACGAAGAGCCCATCTGTGTGATGCACAGGGACCACAAGAATAACTACTAATCTTCTGCAAGCAGCAGCTTATGCCAGGCCAAAGTTATTTGTGCAGATGTCCAGACTCCACTCCAAGAGTACAACCCTATTCATGTTTACTCAAATGCAAGTCCCACTAAGTTAAATGGAGCTTATTTTCCTAGTATGTAGATTAATGACTGCAGCCCAAATATATTTAGATGTTAAGAGAGAGCAGTAAATGGGCATATTATGCAAGCCAGTACTCAACATTCCAATCCATTTACTATCTGCAGTATCAGTCAACATATCCTCTAATTATTCTATTTTTAAAAGAGCTGTTAAGGAACAATATATTAAAGGGTATATACAGATATACATCAATTTAGCAGTGAGTCTACCAAGAAAGTGCACTCACCATATTTTGCACAGACATAAAGTTCCCGTCCCTGCTGAAGCTCAGTCTGTTCTTCCAGCTTTGCACAAAGGTGATTGGCCAGCCCTGCTGTCAATCACAGATCGACCTCTGCCTCTCAAATAATCTTTAAAGTGTTAAATATTTTACAATTTAAACGAATAATGAGGAAATGTAAGAGCAAATAAGCATACAAGGTACTTGGGAGAAAAAGACGCAGTACCAGCAGATAGTATGCCTAAAATGTTGCTTGGAAAAATAGGAGACAGAAATTGCTTCAGAGGTTGTATGTGCACCATTAGAAGAACAAAGGCAGGGGTACAGTGTTCATCCTAAACTTACAGCTTTTTCTATCTGAAGTTATAATTGTAAGCAGTTGAAGAACTAGAACAAGAGAAACTTGGTCCTGTCTGCTTGAAGAGGAAACTTGGCTGTTGTCCTGTTCTCTCATATTTATGATTTCCATAATGACGTACAGTCTCTATGGCAATGGGAGTGATTAGAGGAGTATGAGATTATTGTAAGTTTTAACAATTTTATTTTACAAATGCCACATCTGATAAGCAGACCACATGAGTTTTACAGAAAACCCATGCTAAGATCAACCTGAAGAAGTTCACCTAGCTCTTACTTAACTGTCCTGTTTTGTTCAAGGAGCAAACCAAGATTCACTTTCATTGAGAAAATCTCAATAGAACCATAAGAATTTATGGCTAGAGAGGGAGAGAAATGTGGGAATTTTGTTAATGCTGCATCATTAGAAATGCCTTATTAAATATTATGCAAGTATGTATAAAAGCCCTTTTGTTTATGGGGCACTGCCTTAAAGACAGACAAATGTTAGTTAATGCCCTGAATATACATGTTTACTTCTATCCAATGAGACCAGGCTGGGAGATGAAGCCAACTGTGGGTGTTTTCATCTGGGGATGGAGGTCTTGGAGTAAGAGGACAAATTAAAAAGTGTGGAAAGCACCAGATCAGGAAAAGGAATCATACATAAACACTTTTCTTCATGTCCAATTCATCAAAAGTAACAGCCTGTAAAAACCAAAGTATCAAATCCATTAGATAACCAGGAATTTTCCAGTTTTACCATAGAACAATTAAAACAAATCACCTACAGGTGTAATATGAATATTTGCTTTCTTCCTCTTAACCTAGATACAAAAAATATTGGCAATTTATAAGCAGAATTCTTATATTTCAACATGCAACACTGTTCTTTCTGTACGATTAAATAGACTATTTACACACAATACATATATAATCTCTTTCTCTCTGTATGCACATGCATTGGTCCTAGCCTAGGCATCAAAGGCCACATGTGAGTTCACTGGGTCAATTTATTCTTCAAGCAATTCCAGTTTGAACTTTTGTTTAGCTTTGGGTAGTTGGGATCTCCTCAGTTCTTCCGAATGTCAGCATAGACCACAGACTCTGACTTGTTGATCTTGTCACTGCAATGCCCTCCAGAGTGATCTAACTGTGCATAAATTACTGGGCCCTAAAAAAAAGAAGAAGAAGCAAGAGTAAGGAGGCAAACTCTATTGAAACAGCATAAAGCCAGAATTAATCTACAGATTAGTTAATGAAACCTTGGAGAATATAACAAACAGATAAGACTGTATTAGGTGTATACATTTTATTTTGAAACATTTGCTCTCTTCCAACAGGGTTTAGTGATACGCTGTGCAAGATTTCTCTTGAAAATTATCCCTCTGCCAACATAAAGCAGAAGCAAAATGATCAGAAAATGTCCTCTGTCATTTACATCCTCAGGAAGATGGAATCTTTTCTAGCCTATAGCATTATGCAGTGAACCACAGAGTAGGATTCATATTCCAAGACAAAACACCAAGCATTCACTGCCCTGCTAAATCAGCTCATTAATAGGTTTCTCAGGACTAAAAGAGATACCAAAGCAGGCATGTTTCATATCAAGTTCATGGGAAGTTCTGTTAACATACTAAAGAAAGGTGCATGTTTAAACTGTGTATTTCATCTACTAAACTGAGCAAATATGAGGTCAAAATAGTGCTCTTCAAACTGTAGCTCAACCCAGTTCCAAAATACTACAGTGGTACCTTGGCTCGTGAACTTAATCCGTTCCAGGACTCTGGTCGTGACCCAAATTGGTCATAAGTCATGTTACAGTCCCCCATAAGGTTCAGTGTAAATAAGGTTAATCTGTTCTGTAACCATTTTTTAAATCAGAAAAATGTGAAGCAAAGTGACAACAACAAAGATCGCGGCCATCTCCACCCACCCACCCCAAACATGGCCCTCTCCCCCCCCCGCAGCATGACCGAGATCACGCCTGTCATCCCTGCACACGCCCATCATCCCAGCACACTGGGGGGTGGGGGGGAGAGACGGGTGTGATCGTGGGCCCACTGGGGGAGGAAGAGGCGGTGCAAATGGCACGCTGGGGGAGGGAGAGATGGCCGCAATCTCGGCCATCTCCCCCCCCCCAGCACGATCGCGGCCATCTCCCCACCCAGGGTGAGGTGGGGAGATGGCCGCAATCACAGTTCCATTCATGCAGGGAAGGAGTTCCTGATCCGAGGTGAGCTCCTGCAGGAAAGACAGGCAGAATCTCAGCCATCTCTCCCACAGGTCTGCTTTGCTGCTCCCGTCTTTCCTGCAGCAGCCTTCCACTGGGGGTGGGGGGAGGGAGGAGATGGCTGCGATCTTGGTCACCACCCAAAGTGGTGTTCGCGACCCAAATTTTTTCAGAAATTTTTGTTCGTGACCCAATTTGTTCATGAACCAAGGCATTCTTGGGCCGAGGTACCACTGTATTATGTTTTAGGAAATCTGTGTCCCACTGCCTCAAGTGTCCAGAAAGCTGATACAGTGTGAAATATTACTTAGCAAAATTACCTGTTCTGCCTGTAGTCCTCTAGATGGCAGTAAAATTTATGGTGTATCAATACAGAGAATGCAGCAAGGAATAACCCATAAACATTTATGTTTAATGAGATTGTGCATCCCTCAAAGACTTGAACCTGAGGGACCATGTCCTTGGCAACACACTACAGTAATCAAATTTTAGTTGGCCTACCATTCTTTCACCATATCAGAAAGAACTGCTTTGGGAATATGCAATTGTAATGAGACTACAAGGACATTTACAAATATTAGAGTTTATTGGAATTGTTTACACAGCAAAGTGCCTGATGGGCCCTAAAATTTCATCTCTTTAGAGAAAAGCTTGAAGTTGAATTTGTTTGGTGATCAACAATGCAGTTAAGCATTTTAGATGGAGAAAGTAGCTAGGAATAGACGACTAAGAATACACAGATATTCTTTAGTTGAAAATAACTGATCACAAAGAAGGAAGGCATAGCAAGATTTTTTTACTAGAAACCTCTTGCACAATAGATTCCCTATGCTAACTGCTCAGTTCAGGAGTTGTTTTCAACACCATCAAAAGCCCTAAGAAGGCTTCTTACGGAAGCCATGTGAATGAGTCGTGCTCTGCACATGGATCTTCCTGTTTGCTTTATAAATGAATTTGCTTTGCTTTTATAGAAAAGCAGAAATCTCTCACATCAACCAGCACTGCATCAAAAGTTTATGCTGTTAATTCCTGGAATGCAATCAAGACAAGGGACAATAGTCTTTTCTTCAATATGAAATCACTGTCCTTTAATAAACCGTTTACATCTGAGTTATCCAAGAAGTGACAGTCTAATAGCTCCTATTCAATTATAGACTGGGAAGAGAGAATTCATATAACAAATATTTGTCTGGAACATAAGAGCCCTTGATCTATTAGAAGATTAGCATGGTGTCATGCAGTAACATTTTGAGAATACAACTGTAGTAATGTTTCATTAGCATGAACAGTATCTAGTTTAACTCATTACAAATTTTTATTTGAAAGCATCACTCAGAATTTCTCAATGGGAAGATACTCTGTATATTGTTTTTAAGATATGTTGTTATTTTTCAGCATCTTCTCTCCTATACCTCAGTATCAGGGTAATAAGCTGAAGTTGCCAGAGCAGAACTGCCAAAGCGGCATGCAGAAGTATCTGCATCACAAAAGAACAGTATGAATGTGTGGCTTACAAAGTTTTAAATAGAAAAATTTATAGCTGACATGATATTTTTATATTAGAAGGAGGGTAAGGGAATTTGGATATCTGCTATGCATATAGAAACCTGGATAACCAGTCAGGTCAGCATTAGACTAGAAATCAGTGAACACTGACAATTATGTTAAAAAATATAGCCAGACAAACAAGAGAGGGGAATGAGAGCCACTTAGAATATTTGGCACTAGACAAACATTCACAGGAATGACAAGATGAAACCTCAAATGAATTTAGTGATAAGGACAAGAGTGAAAACAAATGAGTAATCTGTCAGTTTACAAGGGCGATAATCATATAAGGTTCAGATTCCATGCATGCCATCTGAACCACAATCTCAGGCAACAAACCTCCTGTTTTCACAACAAGCTACATTAACCAATTTCAGAACGAAAATCAAGGGGAGTAGGATGCTAGTAGACTATGGACAGGTAACTCACAAATGGCTATTCAATATGCTTGAAATTGAAGTATCATACTGAAAACTTGTTCAGGTACTACCTTGACTTCCTTTCTCAATTTCTTATCTTTAAAACCTTCATCATCTTGACAATATCACTACTCCATTTCTGTACAAAGGTACCAGCTCTGTAAGCAAGAACACTGCCTGAAAACAGGGACTACTGGGAAAGTAGCATCCACATTCTGCTTAATTTTGTATTTTAAAAATATGCCACAAGACCTCCACAGCACTCTCAGTGAGAATAGAAGCAAAAGTCTGGATATCAAAGTCAACATAGTGAAGCTTCCATATCACATACTCCTCTTCTCTGCTTCCAAGTAACTTAAAAGCACTTGTTCCTGGGTTCTTTCCATAATGTACACATCCAAAAACTCTGAGTTGTTTATAAAATAAATAATGCAGAATTAAACCAACAAAACCATGAACAATTGTTGGGTTAAGTTTGCATTTGTTTAACCCATAAACAACCAGGTTCACACAACACAAAACTACTGAGGAATGGAGTGAAATAATGAGCTGCAAGAAGCACCATACTCATGGCTTCACTTGTCTCTGATAATTCCTTAGCTAAACAGCCCACTAATTACAATGTGAAGTGCAAATCAGGTTGCTCTGATATATTTAAAAACAGCACTAAAGCAAAAGCACTTGTAGCTCCCTGTTCCTCAGACAAACCCATTCTAAACAAGCAAATTGACAAATTAAACATTTATTAAAAAATAAACTCTTTTGTTTATTGCTATTTAGGCTATGAGAAAATTGTTTCCATTTGCCCAGTCTTAGCTCCTTTCATATCCCTACTGCAACAGAGAAATCGCCTGTAAGAAGTATGATGTGTGGAAGTATCACATGCACTTTCCTGGAAATATGACCATTCAAGCATGTTTTCACTGAGAAATAGGCATGGGGAAGCTGACTATATGGAGGATTACATACTCATTATTTTCTTTTTCATTTTTAAAGAAAGTTGGAAGCCACCCTTTTAAAAGTTCAAAATCCTTTGCCTCCCCTATTGTGCAGAGGAAATACAAAAGGTCTCTCAGCCAGCATCACCCAACTGCCAATAGTTGCTTATCCAAGGAGTAACAAGGAAAATAATTTGCTTCCATCAATACCATTGTTTACTTCAAGGTCCATCTAATATTCCATCCTCATATTTGCACACTCATCTGGTAGCCATAGGCAACACAGAATTATATGGAGATGAGTGAATCAAGTGGCAGAGGAAGGGTGGCGCAACTCTCTCCACTCTCTGTGCTCAGCAGAGAAATGCAACTGGCTACTGGAGAATGGGGTAGAATTCTGTTCCTCCCCTGCCAGCTTTCATCAGGCTAATTAAAATCTTGCTGACTAGAAACTTACTTACATGACTGTAATAATCAGCTTCAATCAAGGAAGGAGGATCAGCAGGGTACGTAAAAATAGTTCTTAAGAACATCCTTTTATTAGGTCTACATGAAAATGTGCAATCATGTCAAACTACATGATTAGTAGACATGTAGTGGACATATAAAAAACACGAATCTACAAGGTCATCTAGTTGTTTTCTGTTTCAAATGCAATTGTATAAATATGCTTTATGAAAGGCTACCTTACTATTTTTAAATAAAAGCCTCCCTTGCTTAAGCATTTCAGTCTGACCATAGAGTCTCTACTTTCCACTGATTCATGAAGTTTAGAATAGATTTATCTGATGGAGGATGCCATCTTGTGCGACTGGAAAGTGGGAAGAGTGCAAGGATTAGTATTGCCTCTTTGCTGCTCTTGCCCTCTTTCCAAAGCATTTAGACAGTCAGTGTTGGCCATCTAAATGTTTTCCCCTCCTCATGACCCCCCCCTCAGGATTCTTCAAAGGACAGTCTTGTATTGTTCCTTCCCACCCTGCCTTCCCCCTAGACAGGTGCTGAAGAAGACCCTAACCCTAAATATCTTTCAAGCCCAGCTGACACAAAGAACTGTGCTGGCTGTATGAAGGCAGGGTCCTCACAGTGTTTTTCAGGGGTTAGAACTGGGATTCTAACCTATTCCATGTCTCCCCATCCCTCATCACCTGCCAGACAATGACAGGAAGTTAAAGGAACAATTTAGACAACAATTTTGTTCCCATTCTCTTATTTTAATTTTTCCAGTCAGAAAGAAAAAATGACTATTTCTTTCACTATCTTAAACAACTTTCCCTATGTCACTGGCATATCCCTTCTTGCAAATAGTCTCAGTTTCTTTCCATGTAATCTGCTAAAAAGCATCTACTTCCTATGGAGCAATACTCTAAACTGGTATTTTCAAGGTCTGATTAATACCCAGTGGTCTTGCAAAAATATGTGGTGATCATTGGTAGTAGCAGGAAGAACAATAAATCATTAGGGACTAAAACAATATTAGCTCTAAGAAAAGAATCTAGAAATTAATTGTAAGAATCGTTGTATTGATAGTAAGAATCCAGAAATCTAAATACTCCACATGGCTGAGATCACAGAATTACACCTGGAAGGAGCTAAAAAGCCACCTAGTTCCAAACCTGTGCTTCATGAAGGAGCAAACTATTTAAGCCTTGCACAAATCAGCCTACACAAATGACACTCAAAGGACTGAAAAGCTACAAAGGGACAGGCTACTGAAGCACAGTCATTGCAACAACTCTTTACTAAAGCTAACTAGTGTCCCTATTCAGTCTTCTAAATAATCCCAAGTACCAGAGCTAACAAGCATGTTGCAGAAATACAAGGGCTCTTCATGCTTTCTGTTTATTTCCACAAGAGCAGAGGTTTTCTTTACAGGTACTCATCTGTGCTCAGAATACTTTCCTACTATGGAGGCTCTTCCACCATTCAACAAGGATACCACCTTTCCTGTCACCTTGGTGATCTCCACGTTAGAGTACTCAAAGCAGCATGATGCCATTTACCTGGTGTGATCGGATGGGAACGCTGTTTACCAGACCCTCTGTGTCGGAGGGGGACTTCCGTGGAGCCTGCTTAACTGGAGACACCAAGCTCTCAGAGGTACTGCAGCTGATGAGGCGGCACAGCAGTTTGCAGGACAATGTTCAAGAAGTAAACACAAAATGAAAAACAGAACAAAAACAAAACAAGTGATGGCAAGATGATGTGGCAACTCAGGCCAAAGTAAAGGGTGATCTCAGTGAGTGACAGATACATACTCTTCCCTATTCTGCTCAGTGCAGAAGCTCCTACATCTCTTTTTCTTATTCACATGGATCCAATATAGCCTTAGGGGGGAAGAAAGGATCCCTGCTAGAGCTTTCACAAGAACTAAATTCTTGCTAATTGCTACTTCCAGCCACATTGGGGAGCCTGTCAGAATCAAGGGGTGTGGTTCATTGCCACATCTAGGTGAAGCATTGGAAGTGACCTATAGTAGCTGCACAACTGGAAGATTAATTATTTTCTAAATAGCAGGAAGAGTAATGTCTTTTTATTTATTACATCCTATTTGTAATAATCAGAATGGAATAGGTGTAGAATAGAACAGATTAAGACATTTTTCTTTTCTTGGGAATTTTAATGAATTGAATTTTAAGAACTGGAAGGTTGCTTTATTTTAAACTCAGTACTCAAACTGAAGTTGTCACTGCTTTTATTTTAATTGTTCTATTGTTGTTTGCTTTTAGTTGCACTGAAAACTACTCTGGGAAATGAAAGGTGGTATACAAATACCTTTAAAACAAACAAACAATAAAAGACCACTGTATTTTGTCTTCATGGTTGCTCAAGCTAAGGAATATGCCTTGACTTCTAAGTTCCAATTCTTTAACAAATGGTCTGTATGCATGCATACAGAAATCTGTCCATTAATGTATTTATAGAAGAAGTCAAATTCCTTTAGAAACTTGAGGAAAATTTATTTAGAAAGGGCTTACTCTTGATATATATGTAAGCCATGTCCTCAAGCAGGTGCTTCTTCCTTCCACATGTACAAGGAGGAATCATCCCAGAAATAAATGCCTTTTGTCTTTTTAAAGGAATAAAGCACAAACTTTTCAAATTAAACCGAACATGAATACATTCATATTTTTTAATACATACATGCCCACACACTTGAGGGTCAAGTTATATTGTTTCTGCACGTAAAAGTCCATTTCTGGAGAGGTAATTGATATAAGTGCTTTTTCAAGCATAGCACCCCACTTCTGGAATTCAATTCTGCTGGAGGTCCGGTTGGCTCCTACTTTTCTTGTTTTTAGATGCCAATTTATTTATTTATTTATTTAGAAAATTTCTAGGCCGCCCCATTCACCGAAACCTCGGGGCGGCTTACAAATAATTAAAATACATAAATAGCAATATAAAATACATGTAACTGTATAAAATAATAAAATAACTGTATAAAATTTAAGACATTCTTGTTCCACTGCTATTTTAATAGGTGAATTGTTGATTTTTAATAATGTTTCAAAGATTTTATACTATTAAATGCTGCTGCCTTTATGATTTTACGATCAATGCCAGACATTGATATTAATTAACTATTAATTGGGTTATACTTTATTTTGGATCCTTTGTATAATATTCACTTTGTTTATGTTTATCTTGTCTTATTTAATTTTGCTAGTTAATTTATGAATTTTTATTGTTATTGGCCTCAATGTGATAGTGGAGTTTATTGTGTTGCATATTGTTTAGTATGTTGCATATATGGATTTTATCATGATGCAAGCCACCCAGAAAGCCTATGGCAGCATTTAAATAAATGGAGTTGTAGCAGGTTACATGTGTTTAATGTTTTCCTTGCTGGATCCAAATGCACATTTTCCCAATATACATTTGGAGCTATTCAGGGGGAACAGCCAACAGGGAAGAGATGATCTGGATAAGAGGGAACAATCTGCAGGGAAAAGATAATTTCCCTTTTTAAATTTTACAACCTTGACCCTGGAAGTGGCTTTTCTGTCAAATATAGTGGCCTCCTTCACCAATAGGGTGTACTCCAGATGTTTTAGACTACAACTCTCATCAGCCCCAACCAGAAAAGTTAATTGTTAGGGATGACAGGAGTTCCTAATAAATCTGGACAGCACTGAATTGGAGAAGACTGCCCAAATTATTTTTGCCTTACATATCACATACATAGCATGTACAAATACACATGGATCATGACAGTGTGACAATGACATTAAGCAGAATGCAGTTCCTTGCAAGCCATTATTTTCTCTTCTCCAGGAGGAACAATTTTTTTTAAAAGCACACATATATGCAGCACAGGGAAATACAGTACTGAGAAAAAGCTATTTCAGTACCAGTAAATGTGTTTCCATTCTTACTAGGATTGCATCATAGCACACAAAGTGGTCAAAGGAAGAGTAAAATGTCCAGAGTTCATTCTATGAATTCATACAACTTTGCGCTGAATCTAAGAATAACACTGAATTTGTGTTCAGTGAACACAATTTACTGAACACAACATGATTTTCTCCCTTCACAGTGTCCAGAATCCAAATCCTCCACATTCATTCATGCACATGAGAGTGCTGCCAGGGGAGAGGGTACTAATTCTGAAGGAAAGTAGCATCGCTGCCACAATTGAATAAATGGGACAACAAAACTCAAGCAATATATGAAATGTGCTGCCCCTTCACCAACAGTCTACAAAACAGAATTCCAGCACAAGTAATGGAGTTATGTTAGCCAGGTAGTCAGCAAGGGAGGCAGAAATGTATACACAAACACACACACAAAATACCAAAGAGCAACCACCAATGTGATTAGTTACCATGATATATAGTGGGATTGGAAGAGGAGACCCAGCCCTGTTACATTCCCAATCTTGCGTCTATATCGGGATCTCTGTAAGGAGAGGAAGATAAGAGCAGGATCCGATCCCAGCACACCAAGACAGAAAGGAAAAACCAAAATGTCAGAACAACAGAAGTTGTGATACTGCCATGCAAGGGCTCCCACCACCACCCAAATCAATCCATTATAATTCTAGTGTTAGTTTCATTTAGAAATTAGACTAAGAAAAATATCTGACCCTTATCAGTAATTACAGCGCACACACCTGCACACACACGGATCTTGCCACTTAGTAACCAGCAGAAACACAGAGTTGGAGTAGTCAGTGAAAGCAACATTATCCATTTTTACATTGTTGGGTTACTGTTACAGCAGTAGAATAATTTACTGCAAGCAAATTATTATCCCAAACCCTCAAGAAGCTTTCAATAATAACAAAATGGACACAGTTAATTACTTGTATTAGACTTTGGGGTCCTTGGGTTCAGAACAGTGTGAGCTGCCTTCAAGCTGTTATGGAAAGAGCACATGCAGAAAGGAAACTAGTCTTTCCACAAGAACACTGAGCTTACACAGCAGACTTCACTGCACTCAATCTTACCACTGCCCTGTACTGCAACCCCTTGCTAAAACTGACAGCTGAAAAGAAGATACAGTGGAAGATGTTGCCAATTAAACATGCCCATTAAGAATTTGGATTTTTGAAGGCTTTATTGATAGCATTCACTAAATCTATAAGAAGCAGGAAACAGTTGGGTAGTAAAAAATAGATATTCCCATAGAATGTATGTGTGTCCATTTTTAATGTATACATGAGCTGCATTTCTGTTGGAGATAAGTGATAATGCAAAGGAGATAAAGTCCCACCACCACTTCACAAAGGAACCCATCAGCAAAATATTTTGCAATATTTCAGAAGACTTGGACCAAAGCTTTATATTCTATTTTGAAAACAAAATCTAGTAAAAGCTCTTCAAGGCAAAAACTATCATATTTGCAGCAGCGGCGGCAACAAAAAAGGAAGTCATGCAGATGGTGAAGCCAGAGAAGATAGTAGAGGGACTGTTTTCCCAAAGCTGAGGTTGGAATCCTCTGGCAAGCAGACTGTTGTAAAGGCATTGGCAGCCACACTCCAAACTCACAAATAAAATTATGCAATCCAACTTTCCAATGTAGAAGGTGTCCAATATTTACCTTCATCCTCAGAGCTGCTTCATTTTGGGGAGGGAGAGAGACTGTGGGCTTATCCTTCTAGACATATTTGTCCTTAACTCTTCCTTGTACAAATGGAAAAGGGGCCATGCATATGAAGTTAACAATTTCAGAGTCCAGAGTGGGAGGTGTTTTCAGCTCATCAATGTAATATTACAAACAAAATATGCAGGAACAATTCCTGTTCAAGTCAATTTACTCAGGCCTCTTTTTTAAAGTAAAGAAATTAGCAGACGAATATCTTACCCAGAATAATGCTTTTTAGAATTCTTCTTTCTGTATACAACACACATAATAAGAACAATGAGCAATATTAAACCCAGAACTCCAAGAATGGCTAGCCCTGCCATGAGGGCAATGGGAAACACATACAAGTTACCTGAGGAGAGAAAGAAAGTTTTGGTTCAGTTTACTTCATTTTTACATTTGTCAACCTATTTTTCCTTCTGAATTTCAAACACATAAATTAAGGGTGCACCTGTATTAGCATCTGTATCCTTACAGCTCTTTTTACACATCAAACCTGAAGTGAAACTAATAGGCATGCTCTGTGGTGTTCATTCTTTATATTACATTTCAATACCATTTTTCAGCACCCAAAATACTTTACAATTTCTCTTCCCTCTGAGAGAGCCCCCTGAAGATGGTGGGATAAAAAGCAGATGGAATTGCGGAAGGTCACCCACCAGAAGCCAGTTCTCAGTTCCCCATTTTGTAGTTTGCTATCCATACCAGGGTACAAAATATGCAAACCTCTTGTTAGGCATGACAAACAGCGCATGCCCTTTAAAATGCTCAAAAGCATCGATCAGGAGACAACAAAGTCTTTGCTTTCATGTATTTTAAAGATTCTTGTGCCCCATTTTACATACAACCTCATCACATCCGAGGAACTGATTCCATGGCACCACCATGAGCACAGGTTACCTGGAAGCATCACTTAGGACTCACCATTATAAACTGCAGAAGAGGGGGTGAGGGATTCACATGTACAGCATGGTTTTGAAGTGTACATGGCACAGAAATGTATGCATGCATGATACAGGTATTTGTATAAGAAGAGCCAACATGTTTGCATTAACTGAGGCTTCCAGGAGCCCTAATATGCAACATAGAGCACAACTGAACTACAGGTAAAGTAAGAGAACAAGCACTCTTACACATGCTAACCCACTACATTCAGCTCACTGTAAGATTTGGTAAGGGGAGAGGAACATCAAAACTCCCCCACTCCATGGTATAATGTCCAAGAACAGCTCTGGTTCTGTTAACACTGGTTTATTGGGGAATTCGCTCTTTGCCAGAAATTAACACCGTTTAACCCCAGAAAGCTCACTGGCCTTATCAGGAGATAAATGTACAGATCCTTTGGTTCGGTCTAGGGCAGAGAGTGACGCCTCCCTGACACTGCTTTCTCCCTTGCACAGAGGACACTGACAAGCGCTCCTCTTGGCTCTGCAGCAGCTCTGATGGTTGTTTCAGGAATCTCACTAGGTATGGCACTGTCCTGCCTCAGCAGTTGCCTTCCCATGAGGCCAGCATCAGCTTCTACAGCCTGGAGTTCCGTCCCTCTTCCCCAGTCTCAAGACACCCCACCAGCCCCCACTTTCACCTCCTCACCTCCCACAGCTAGTGGCCGCACTTGCTAGCCTGCCCCAGCCTATACTTTTTATACTGTTCTCTTCCATGTTCAGCCCATGCCTCTCTTCTTCCATCACCCCAGCCTTCTGCTCCCTTCTCCACTGTTCTCCACCCTCCCCCAGGTGCTCCTCATTGAGTTCAATCCGCACCACTGCCAGGGATCAGCTTGTGCCAGCTGCAGCCGGCGCCTCTTCCTCTGAAGCCTCTGCCTGGGCGAGGAAACTATTCCATCCCTCAGTGTTGTTCGTTCTTCCCTTATCTGCTCACTGGACACCAAGTGGGAGGTGGCAAGCCCTGACACCCTCTCACACTCATATACTCAAGTTCTGTAATCTAGTCAGCAATGCCTTATTCTCAATAAGTATACACTAACACAGGGGTCTCAAACTCAACTTACCTGGGGGCCGCTGGAAGTAGAGTCTGGGTGAAGCTGGGCCGCATCAAGTGGTGGTGGTGGGCCGCTCACCCCACGTCCGGCCTGGGCACCACCAGCACTTTGAAGTCCACAGGGCCCCTCCCCCATGCCCCGCCCATCCCGGCAATTGGCCCGCGGGCCGTGAGTTTAAGACCCCTGCACTAACATAACTGATAACCATTTATTGCTTATTTTATAAGTATTTTTCATTCTGTACCTCAGCCAAAGAGCTTCTTGGAAGAGCTTACATATAGTTAGGAAAAGAAGACTCAAAGTTTCAAAAGTAACAGCACACAAGGTAAAGGATGGGGAGGGAAGAGGTCTTTCAGCAGTGCTGGTGGATTTGCCCACTTCCCACTCTCATTTCCCTCAGTTCAGCTTGCTGAAGTGACTGCGTTAATAGCTGGAGGTGGTAGTTTTACTAAATTGCAATATCTTCTTACAGATCATATTTCAAGAACAAAAGGAGATTTATACCAGGAATCATCCATAAAAGAAAAGGAAGGTTGTACAGCTAAGACACATTTTCATGCTACCAGCTACAAGACTATCTCCAGGCATGCAAAGGATGGCATAGAAATGTTTTAAATAAATATATAAAATATCTGCTTTGATCATCTAATTTTCCATTTGTAAGCCCTGTTTGAAAGTTGATCTAAAAGTTGATTTAGTGACTACTCCTCTACTATGGATTCCCTTCTCAAAGAGACTTGCTAAAGAACTTGGCTGGGCTTTGATTGCCAGCTGAAAACTTTTATTAGTATTACTTAATGTGGTTTTATCTGTTATTGTTTTATCTATTATTTTTAAGTCAGCTCTGGTGCTATATTTGCAATGTGAGCTGCCCCAAGAGCCCCCTGGTCCCCCTGCGCTCTTGGGACAGCATGCAAATGCAATATAAATAATTAAATTTACCTAAGAATGAGATTCTATATTTTTTCTTGTTCAAAAAAGAAAATGCTTTATTTTCAGAACAAATGTCAATAAGATGTAGAGAATGCATGTAAGAAAAATGAAAGTAACACTCATTTAAATGAAATACTTTTGCTAACTAGAAAAACATAGTAGAGATGTTCCAGCCACCTTCGTTACCTATACCTTTCTCCACAACTCTGAGTTTGATTTCTCCTGGTGTAACAACAATGTCTGGAGGGTTCTTGACATCACAGATGTAAGTGCCATTGTCTTGAAACTGCATGTTTGCTATAGCAATAGATGCATCTTTCTTGTTTAGGTCTCCAGCCCAGTTGGTTCTGTCCTTAAATTGTGTAGTTTTAGCAGGATATTGCTTTCCATTGGAATAATAGAAGAACTGTAATCAAGAAGACAAACATGGTGAAATCTTTTATAAAGTACTTCCTCGCTGTAGTCCTCTAATACCTAACTCTAGAGCATATGGTATTTGAATTCCAATGTTTCATCACATCATCCATAAGGGTGCCAATTTTCATGAAAGATAGAAAGCTGGGTTTTGCCTTCTGAAAAGGTCAATGAAATCTCCACTGTAGAGTGACATAAGGGAAGGTCTGAGTTTAGCTGCAAGTGGTCAGGGTGAGACCTCTTACTGTCCCACTAAACACAGCTTCCTCCTATGCTCACAAATCTCTATTGGACCTGTAACCACCACCACCACCACCACCAAAAGGTTTGTCTCATTCCTGATTAATATTGCCCTGCCCTGCTAACAGAACCAAATACCTAACCGAGCATAAGTGGTTATCACTTCAAACCATTCTTCACTTGAGTATTTGCCAGCAAAGCATTTAGAGTGTAAAGAGAAGGACCATCTTGAGAACAAACACAGTATGATCACCATTGTGTGATGTCATTCAGTTAAAGCAGAAGTGAAAGTGAACAGAAAGACATGAAATACCAGGAAAATGTTTGATCTCCCAAGTTAAAGACTTATATTCAAATATAATCGTACTTCAGTCACCATCTCTTACCGACACAGACGGTGATGATCCCTCTGCTTGGAAGCTCCAAGTAACAGATGCTTCACTGCTGACCACTTCTGTGGACGTAAAGGTGCACTGAAGCTTTGCCTCTGTTCCATTCTCCACAGAAAGTTCTGCTGGTGTGTATACTTCCACAGCTGAAACCTGGACTATCAAAAACATCACAAGAATCAGAACTCTTTATAAGCAATATAGTATAAATGCTACTCATATCATAAAGCAAAGCAACAGCATGCATACAGAATTGAATAATCCAAAAGAAGGCTCCTACTCATGCCAAGATAGGCAGCCCCTAAACCATTTGGAGCTTTAAAAGATCAAAACCTATACCCTGAATTGATCCCAGAATACAATTAGCAACTAGTGCAGAAGAACTGTACGAAACAATTAGCAAGCCATGTGGACTGAGGGAACAAAGTCTACTTTGACACATTTATTTATTTATTTATTTATTTATTTAAAACGTTTTTATGCCGCCCCCATCGCCACAAAGCCTCGGGGTGGCTTACAAACAAAACCAAAGTTATACAATAAAAATATTAAAACCCGGTGCATCTCGGCTTAAAAATTTTAAATCCTACACAATAAATTAACACTTAAAATAAGTTTTAAATAAAAAGGTCTTAGCCTGGCGCCGAAAAACAAATAACATTTCCTGTATACAGGCAGTCCATGGGTTACAAACATCTGAGTTACGAACAACCTGTACTTACAAACTGCCATTAAGCCTATTAATTTTAAATAATGTACATAAACACACAGGAAGTGAATGGGGAGAGAGGGAAGTCTCTAAAGCATGCCTTCCTGCCCTGCACATCCCTAGAGGAAAAACTCTCCAGCATTTCCTTGATGCAAAGAGGAGACACTGGTAAGTTGGGGGAGGGGTGAGATTCAGTTTTTCCATTTTCATAGGGGTCCTGTGACCCTAACTACCATGAAAGTGGAGGTCCAACTGTATATGGAAGTGTTTGTTAAGTATTTTATATATATGATCTGACTTGCATACAAATTTAACTTAAAGACATTCTCAGGAATGGAACTCATTTATAACTAGGGGACTCCCTGTATCTACAAAGTATATAGGCTCACTTAAACTTTCAGAGGTTAGTTTTGTGGTTGCAAGAGGGGGGCAGGGGGCAGGGATGGAGGTCTTTGTAGTGGAATCCCATCTGTTACATTACCTCCCCAAAAAATTTACCTAGCTTTGTCTTTAATACTAAAAAGCCATTCAACCCATTTGATAGAAATTAGACTGGGAACTTCCCCAAGCTCAACTCACAGCAGGCATAGCAACCACCTAGAGGACTGAGGGAGCATATTAATATCAAAGCAGGGAATATAAAATTCTCACAGTGGTAACACTATGTTCCACTTTAGCACTTCCATATGCCCTGCTCCATCTTCACAGAAAGGAACACAGTACAATAGTAATGAGATAAGAGACACATTATCCCATTGTGTGAACAGGTTCTCCTAACTCAATGCTGTTGTGATAAGTTTTTCTTCTATCCATATACTTATGGTTAAATATTGAAACATCTCCATCAATAAAGCCCCACAAGTTACTTATCTGATGCATTATAATCAATATGTACAGGAGCATCTGATTTAGTTCAAGAATACTAATTGTCATGGTACAAAAAGTCACAGACCTACTAAGAAATCATCAATAAGCAACCCACAGAGATTCCTATTTAGATTGCAATATTTGTCATTACTATTACTATTTTTCTACATATTTCTATAACTGAGACTGAAGGTGATATACAACATTAAAACTATACAATTACAGCTCAAATATGCCAATGTAAAGGACTAACATGGCAAAAAAGGCACACCTTTCCTAGTAATACTGAGTTAAAAGAGTTCAGCCATTTTAAAGTGGAGGCTGACTTTAAAAGTATAATGTACATTTATTTATTTATATTGCTATTTATATCCTGCCTTTTTCCTACAAAGGGCTCAAGGCAGCTTGCATCATTCTCCACCTCCATCATATCCAGACAACAACAACCCTGTGAGGTAGGTTGGGCTTAGAGTCTGTGATCGGCCCAAAGTCACCCAGCTGGCTCCATGGCCGAGCAGGGACTAGAACCCAGATCCTCTGAGTCCCAGTCCCATGCTCTTAACCACTACACCACACTGGCTCTCATTTTACTTTTAAATCAGGCAATTTTATCCTAAAAGCATGGTGCTGTCAGAAATGTTCTGAGTAGTGGAAAGGGTGCTCAAGAGGCAATTAGACCAATTCAGCTAGAAACCGGAGCAGGGTTCAGGGGTGCTGTCACCCCATTGGAGAATTACACAGACCACTCTGACAGCCACCACCTCAGCAGCCTGAGAGACCACTGCCCTGCAGGAAAGTTCTCCTTGGGGACCACCTAAGACAAGCCTGGAGCTGCTGGAGGTTGCTTCCTTTGTGTGAATCACCACAGAACTTTGGAATCCTGTGCTGGGTTCCAGTGTTCTAATAACCTGTCAGAAAGGGCCTGCTTGAGGAACTTTACTTTACCTGTCCTGAACCTGGACCGGACACGGGCAATAACTTCAGACATGTATTAAGAATTTACATTCTTAATACTCTGAGAAAATAACAGAGTGGACACCAGAATGGAAGCCAGAACCCCAACTTAACTCCATTAAAAAAAAACACTAAATATCATAGGAAGAAAATCAGTTAAATAAGAATGAGCATCAATTCCGTTCAGCCAGACAGCTGCTGCTGCTTGCCAGTTGGAGGGTTTTACTAGGGAACTTGCATCTGTAGGAAGAAGAGAAACTCTCCTATATAAGCAGTGGCTTTCTGCCACCGCCTCACCTGCTTGCCTGTTGCTTTCTCCCATGCCTGTTAGAACCAACCTGGATACCTACTAACAGACTGCCATTTTTTGTATTGTGGATGTTTTTGTTCTTATGTGTATGATATGCATGAGGGTGTGTGTTCATGAGAGTGAGAACTTTATGAGACAGCAATTATGACTGAGGAAAACTTTGTAGAGTTGGGTGGGAGAGCTGTCCCTTATGATATAACTCAAACTATTCTGATTATTTTAATCTAATTTAATTGATTTTTCAGGGTGTGTGTGTGTGTGGTTTTTTGTAAATGAGTTTATAAATATGGTCCTCATGAAACGGGGGTTTAAGAGACAGGGGACTGCCTCCCTTCTAGTGCTCAGGTACAAAACAATCAAAAGTCTCATCCTTCTTCCACTACAAAAGGCTGGGCAAAGTTAAATGCTTACTTACACCTGTAATCTTGACTGGTCTGTGGATCATTCCTCTAAGAACAACTTTTCTAAACTGGATACCAAAGGGGAAATTGACTTTGCAATAGAAATTGCCCAGGCTAAAATCTCTGAAATTGTTCAAGCTGTAAGTCTGCAAAGGCTAACTCTAGCATCGCAGAGAAGTAATCATACGGCATTAGAATCAGCCCCTGAAGCTTCTCAGATGTGGAATTACCCCCTAGGGCATGGTTCCTCAAACTACAGCCTGCGGGCCACATACGGCCCTCCATGCTCATTTATCCGGCCCGTCTCAGAGCTTTTGGACTCCCTTGGAGAAAACGATCTCCGAGTGAGTCTGAAAGCTCTGAGCCTGTGCAGATGTTCTCTGAAACTGAGCAGAGCCAGAGCACGCACCAAATTGTAACGGCGCAACTACGCATACGCCGGCTCCCCCCCCCCCCCCGTTGCACACGTATAGAGTGGGAATACGGAGCGGTACACAGGAGAGGAGAGTGGAAGATAAAGAGACGAAGACGCTAAAAAAGGATTGAAGGTAAGAAAAATATAACTTTTTAAATCTATTTTTAATTACGTTAAGAAAAAAATATTTTTAATTATGTGAGCCATGTCCCTGTGCTGCAGGCCAAGCCATGGCCGCCACCCCCTGAGTCCTTGGGGGCAGCTGCTTGACGGCTGCAGTGGCTTGTCCAGAGAAGGCCCCAGAGGAGGCATGGGAGCTGCGGTCTTATACGGGCAAGCCGCCACTGTTGAATGACTGTCATGCTTCTTCCCCCTGCAGCAGGGAGGGGTGGAAAGTGCCCTGCTTGGCCGGCCGCAGCTCCATCCCTCGCCTCGGCCCACGGAAAACAGCCCTTACCTCCCTCCTCACAGTCCTCTCCCAGCTGGGGGAGCTCCCCCCCCACTCACCTCTCCAGCCTCCCACTCCTGCTCTCTAAGGGAACCTTCCTTCGGCTTGGAAGTGGGGCAGCAACAAGGAACTGGGCAGCAGCGAGGAACTGGGAAGCGCTCGACTGAGGCGAGCACACCCTCATGGCTCCCCCTCGTGTCATGCTCTCCCTTTCAGCAGGCAGTGTGGCATCATCTTGGACTTCTTTTTTGGGGCTTCTTTAATTTTTAATTATTTTTAATTTCAATTAATTTTAGTTTAATTTTAATTTTAATTATTTCTTAATGTGCAGTGTGCATAGGAATTTGTATTTTTTTCAAACTATAGTCTGGCCCCACAACAGTGTGAGGAACAGTGAACTGGCCCCCTGTTTAAAAGTTTGAGGACCCCTGCCCTAGGTGATGGTTAGAGTTTTACAAGGACTGGTCTCCTTTGAGCATACATACTTTTTTCCCTCTAAGAATCAGACTGATTTCATTATTAATGTACTAGATTTAATTAAAACATTCCTGGCAGTGTGCTTTGGTGTACTCCCTACTATGGCTGAATTCTGCAGGAGAATCTAAAATCCAGCAACTATACATATAAAAAGTAAAACTATAAATAAGCTAGGCTCTGATGTTAAGCCAGAAAGAGGTGTGGGCAGTAAACAGTCTAGCAAGGGAAGGAAAAGCAATCTAATTGGAAAGCTGCAAAAAGAAGTAAAAATATAAACTTCTTTTTGTACTTCAGAATACTGCAAAAAAAGTCTCAGGAATAAAAGAAAATGAATCCTTGAAAGCTTTTTAATCTATTAGATGATTCCCTAAACATTTTAGCAAAATCCTCTCAGCAGCAAGGTAGGAAACCAGAAGCATTGCCACTCAGTGGAATAAAATCTTTAGCCCAAAGGGGCCTCACTGGGGCTGGTGAGTCAAAGGTCTCCACCAAAGCATCACACTCAAAAGACATAATCAAACCCTTGACAATATACCCCCACTGCTGAACTAGATTTTAAGTCCCCAAAACAA